CACTGCGTCGCTCCCGGTGGTCTTCTTCGCCGCCTACATCTGTCACTTCTAGGTGAGTTTGAGTCTCTCATGTCTCCCTCTTTTCTTTCTATGGTTTACCCTTGTTTGCATATGGGTGTAGCCTTAATTTTTTTATTTTGTTGTGATTTTGTATCTTGTATCTTGTTTTCTTCTAGTTATATCCCACGACCACCATTGCTTTCTTTTGGTATCAAGATTTGAAAGCACATTTACCCAATGGAGTCGTTTGTAGCACAAGCTTAGGAGCAACGACAATTTCCTTTTCCTTTGCATTTTTTCAGATAACAAAAGAGAGGTATTAATGATCAAAAACTTCATGTAGATTTTTTTCTCGGGTTTATTTTTATAATAATGCCACATCTTTGAGCTGTAGTTTTAGCATCATCTCTATGATAAAAGTCTACCCATTTTTGGAGAATTTTTCACAAGGCATCTTAGTTGTGCTTCTTCTTCTTCTTCCTTGTACCTTAGGCGCAGACCCATCAGGGTCAAAGCAAGTGCTAAAGCTAGCCACTACGAGTTTAGCATCTTGAATTCTCCATTGGGACCACGATCCTTGGTGGGAAAGTTCCTCAGTGGTCTTCTGCAAAATCACCCTCAGTTGTTCCACGTTGTTGTTGGGGAAGAGTTGAAGCTCTTGGCCGATGATCGAGATGCAGCATATGCTCGCATGGTGATTGGTTCTGCCTCTGATGAGGCCTTGCTACAATGGTTTGTGGCTAAATTGAGATACCCTTTTGTTTTTTTACCATGTTTTTGTTATGTTTTAAGAGGTATGTTGCAAGAATCACCAAGTATGTTTATAAACATTGTCAACCATTGTATTCGATGAGAAAATTTTCAGGTGGGAAAGGAATACTTCGTCCAGCTCCAACCCATTTTGCCACAAATTTCATTGCTTTGCAAAGTATATTGGCTAAAAAAGATTCACTAAGAGAAATGGTAACATCAAGAAATTGAACAAGTTCAGTTTATTCCAAGGAGTCAAGGCAAAAAGATTTTTGGAACAAGTGTTAGACTCTAAAATTTGGAAACAATGTGCTGATATTGTAAAACTTACTGAGCCACTTGTACATGTATTACGTATTATTGATAGTGAAGATAAGTCTGCCATGGGTTTTCTTTATCAGGCCATAATTAAAGCTAGAGAGGAGATGGAAAGGAGGTTTTAAAGAAATAAGAAGAAGGTGGAGCCATATTTGAAAATCTTAGATACTCGTTGGGATTCACAACTTTGTAGAAATCTATATCCTGCAGGTTATTGGTTAAATCCAGGATATCATTTCAATGTAGATGAATTTGAAAAATATGAGTTCGCAACATCTGACCTTTTGGATGTCATTGAGAGATATGGTTATGAAAATTCTGAGTTGCAAGCTAAATTGACAAATGAGATGAGGATATTCAAAGCTGCTCAAGGTGACTTTGGAAGGCAATCAGCTTTACGTGAACGAAATATAGTGATGCCAGGTAAAATTATTAACTTATCGCTGAAAAATATATTAGTATGAATTAATAAATACTAATTTTTTTATTACATTCTAGATAAAATGATGGGAATGTTATGGCTTTGGTGCACCGAACTTGAGAAAATTAGCAATTCGTATCGTAAGCCAAAACTTGTAGTGCCCCAGGTTGTGAGCAAAATTGGAGTATATTTGAGCATATTCATTCAAAAAAGAGAAATAGGTTGCACCATAAAAAGTTTAATGATCTTGTCTATATTTGTTGCAACTTGAATTTGCAAACAAGGTATTGTTATGTTCATTTATTGTTTACATTCATTTGTTATATTATACATATAAATATGTGCAAGTAATTTTCTGATGTTGAAAATCAAAAAAAAAAATAGGGATCAAACGAAGCGTCAAAATTATGACCCAATTGATTTGGTAATAATTGAGGAGCATTTTGACTGGATTTTGGATATGTCACCAGCATTATTAAGTGATGAAGAAGAGGAAGTTTTACGTCAAAACATAGACTTGAATGTTGTTCCACCAGTTGCAAATGATATTGGTATGCTTTTGTACAACATAATAATTAGAATTTTATTGTTCAATTTGATTTTGATCACTTAATATTTATCAGTAACTTACATGAAAATTTAATTGTCATAGATCAATTAAATTTGGATGAGGATGAGGATAATGATGCCCAAAATGAAAGCAATGTTGGTCAAGGTTTGGATGAGTTCGGTGGGCCTGAATTCATTGACACAACTTTGGCACCATGGGCATAGTGATAGCGTACATTTTTATTTATTTGTACTTATTTTGTGCAATTTATTAAGTAATTATGAACTTGTAAAACTGTAAAAGTGTTATTGGGTATATTTTGAGCTTATTTAGTGAGTTGACAGATGATGGATCTATTTGGTGTTGGGGTTATAATATATGTATCCTTAATAGTTATTATGCTTGAACTACTCCTTTGGAAGAATTGAAGTTATGGTAATTACTTTGTTCAGTTATTCTTATTTCTAGAAATTTGCTGATATTGATGGTATTAGCTTGGGTTATATGTTGCTTATGCATCCAGTGATCAGGAAGAAGAGCTATTGTTTTCATTTTTCAAGATTCGAGATTTTTTGTGAAATCTTTACATATGCATCCAGTGAGCAGGAAAAATTGATGTTTCTTAAGTTGCACCCCAGATTCTAATTCTTCACTCACACATATATATATATCTTGGTCAACCGGTCCGACCAGTGATCCAGTATTTCGACTGGGTAGATGCTTGGTTCGAGTTTAATAACACTGTATTTTAGAGAGAGATTGTAATTTTTTCCACGTAGTGAATTTTTTTTTTGATCTTGTTCGTGATTTTTTTCTAATTGAATTTTCCACGTAAATCTTGTGTATCACTTTAATTTCTGTATTTTTTGTTCTTTTGATTGGTGTAATAAAAATAAAGTTAATTACATTGTTAGTATCTAAGAAAGTGAGTGATTATTTAATTAGTCACTATTGCGCAGCACGAAAAAACTCCTACTAATTTACACTTGATTGACCAATTGGTGTGGTTAAGAATGTCTTGAAATTCTAATTTCTCACAATTATATTTTAGCCACACGATACTCTCTTACATAAAAAAAAATGCCTTATTTATTCTTCCCTTCAATTGCACCATTTATTATAAGCTTGAAGTAAGTGAACTCCAATTTAAGAGCTTTAATATATTATTGACTTCATTAATCAGTTACTATAAATAGTTTGGGCATGCTCCATCCCTGTTTGATTGACTTTAATATTGTTCCAAAGTTCTATGTCAAGCGTGGTGCACCCCATATTTCACGTTTTGAGTTTCTATTTGATTCTAAAATGTTATTTTTTTCCAAAAAAATATTCATTAGATACTTCTAAAGGTACATGTATTTTGGATTTTATTAATCTCATGTTAAAGGAAATAATTCATCTCATGTCATAGAAATAAACTTGTGGGCTCCACCACCTGAAAAATAAAAATAAAAAAAAATAAAAAAATGACACAATTATTGAAGAATGTGTAAGAGAGAAATTTAACACATATAACATAAGAGTAATTTTTCTCATCTGAACTTTAAATATAACTCAACAGCGCAGACATTATAGTTTATAATCACTTTTTAGTTAAAAAAAAACAGAGCACTTACTTTGAGTAAGTTGAGAGAAAGTAAAGTGATTAAACTAAAATATTTCCAAGGTCAATTAATTTATTAAAAAACTTAAAATTACACCACTAAATATTTGGTTCAACGATGTGATTATACCGACTTAAATCAAATTACACGAGTAATCTATGAATCGATTGATAATATCAAAAATAAATAAATTAAACTTAATATTTTTTGCTAACCACCTCGAAGGATTATGAGTTAAGGTGAGATCGTTGGAAGAATAATTTGATATAGACGTGGCGTGGTCGTGGTTAAATGATGGGTTGGTAATGTATTCAACCTGTTGGGTAATGAAAGTATGTTGTTGTTATGCTTTTCCTTTTCCATGTTTTTTCTCTCCTCATTTTTAGTGTTTGTTTAGTATATATTGGATCTTAGCCTGCCTTGGTTGTGGCCTAGTGTATTCTTGTGTCAAAAAGGAATACACAAGAATACACTAGTACCTCTTTCTTTTCTTTTTTTCAATTATAAATTGCCATTATCTTCTATGTAAAGTAATATTCCCTACTCTGTTGTTGACTTATTGTTTAAAGGTAATCATTTAAGGGTTTATTGTTTTTCTTGTAAACTTTATAATTACATCATTTTGAGAATGATGAGAATTAATGAAAAATATTTTAATAAAATTTATATAATAATAAATAAATAAAATTATTAAAATATCCTTCATTAAATTTTTAAATTTTCAAAATTTTAAGTTTGTTGGAGATAAAGTAGAAACGATAAATTTATTATTTAAATACAATAAAAGCAATTAAATATTTTATTAGTACTATGATGGAAAGAAACTATATTCACCTAAGAAAGAATATAAAAGTTGAGCACCGACCCAATTTCGGTAATTGGACAATGAGGTGAGCAATTCATGACCACCTGTCCGCCTTTAGGCTATCCCATATATGGAATTTTTCAGGCCATAATCAATTAGATTCTCTCTCACTCACTCACTCACTTTTTTTAATGAAATAATTAATTAATATTTTGAATTAAAAAAACCACAAAATATTAATATTAAATAAAAGATCACAAAAATTTCCAAAAGTATATGGAAGTTATATGATATGGTATTAAATGCTCTTAAATTAATTTCCTTAATATATGGAAGTAAAAGAAAGAAATTTAATAGGTAATCAATTAAATGAAATTCTGGTTTAAGAGATTCTGAATATCTGATTATGATACATGCGTTTGCCTGCAGTGGTGAGTGGCCCTACTGCTCCTTCTGACGATGTCGTTTTCAGGTTCCAAATTGAGGTTTAATGAAGAATACCAACCTCCATTTTCATGCCCAAGGCAACTGTAGATTCGTGATCTTCTTCAATTTGCTTTGTATGGAAATATACAATTAAATATTTCAAATTAATAAAACAAATTCTCGAACTTTATACAAAGACATCCAAAAGGCTTTCATTCTCTTTCTCTGTTTCTGCATTTATATTCATTTGATAAGAAGAAGAAAACTTTACTTGCTTGCCCCAGGTGCTTTCTTCCTTAGGGTTAAAAACCTTCCAAAACCGTTGAACAAACCCAGGAAAAAAAAAAAAAACAACCTCAACAACCCCATTGATTTTGTTCTTTTGGGTTTAGGAAGAGGGAAGAAAAGTTTAAACCTTTGAGTGGTGGTGGGAAAAGGAAAAAAAAAAAAAAAGATGAAGAGGGTGAAGATGGACCCGTTTGTGCTACCCAACAGGCTCACACTGCTTCAAATATTCATGGTGGTGATGCTTCTTTACATGCTCTTCATGAGTTTCGAAATCCCTCTTGCTTTCAGAGCTGGGTTTGGCTCTGTCTCTTCTGAAAGTGGTGGTGCTTTTGGGTTTCTCACCGACGCATTGCCCATGTCCATGCCCATGCCCATGCCACTGTTGCAAGAAGAACTCCAAACCCAACATGCAATTCGACCCTCAGGGGAATCCTTTGGGGTACCCAGAGGATCGTTGTTGCAGAAAGTTTCCAGCTTGAGCTTCAACGAGAGCTTTTCGGAGGTTTCTGAACTGCACAAGGTTGCTAAGCATGCTTGGCTTACGGGGAAGAAGCTGTGGGGCGAAGTGGAAAGTGGGAAAGTTGAGAGCTTTGCGAAGTTTAAGGTTGAGAACGGTTCGGACTCTTGTAGGGATTCGATTTCGCTGTCTGGGTTTGAGTTCAGGGAGCGTTTCAAGGGTGTGATGGTGTTGCCTTGTGGGTTGACCCTTTGGTCTCACGTGACCGTTGTTGGGACCCCTCGTTGGGCTCATGCGGAGCGTGACCCCAAGATTGCGGTGTTGAGGGATGGTGATGATGCTGTGATGGTGTCACAGTTCATGATGGAGCTGCAAGGGTTGAAGGCCGTGGACAAGGAGGAGCCACCGAGGATACTGCATTTCAACCCGAGGTTGAAAGGGGATTGGAGTGGGAAACCGGTGATTGAGCAGAACACTTGCTATAGGATGCAGTGGGGTTCTGCTCTCAGGTGTGAGGGGTGGAGGTCTCGTGTGGATGAGGAAACTGGTGAGTGGTTTTGGTTTTCAAAATGCATGATCATGTGTTTTGTCTTTGATTTTTCAATTGCATCAAGGGAATTTGGGATAAGGGGTTTGCCAAATATGCTGCAAAGATTCATTTGCTTGATTCATTGGGGTAGGAAGTTGATTTCGTAGTTTTCATTGTAAATGACTGTGAGGAGTCTATTTGCAGATTCATAGTAGTTTTTAGTTCTCTAGTTCCATGGACATGGTTCGTGTATTCTGCAATTCACTTTGTAGTCTGTGCAGTGAGTTAGAGAAATGAAAAAGGATTTAGTTTTGATCCAACTTTTTTACAATATTAAACGATCGTGTTTTGCCAAATTATAGAATAAGTTTGATTATCATAACGACTATCCCAAAACTTTTTACTTTTTAAGTGATGCACATCATTGGATGGTGTAAAAAACTTTACGCTGACCTGCGGATCATTTTTTTCTTTTCTTAAAAGAGCTAGAGAGATTTCATTCTGTTATCATTATTTTCATTTTGATTCTCTTTTGTGAATGTGAACATTTTGTATGCTTGTTTGTTGTTGTTCTTTAAAGCGTCTTGTTCCAAGGGACATTGATTGTCTTTGCTGATTTTCTTGATTTTATGAAGTTGATGGACACGTGAAATGCGAGAAGTGGATTCGTGATGACAATAGTCATTCGGAAGAGTGGAAGGCAACATGGTGGTTAAACAGACTGATAGGGAGAAAAAAGAAGGTGACCATAGACTGGCCATTTCCTTTTGCAGAGGGGAAATTATTTGTTCTCACCATAAGTGCTGGCTTGGAAGGTTACCATGTTAGTGTGGATGGGAGGCATGTGACATCCTTTCCCTATCGCACGGTGGGTAACACTAATCATATCTCCTTCTACTGTATGAATGCAGGAATGTCTTGAGTGTTTATGTTATATTCACATTTCACAGGGCTTTGCTCTTGAGGATGCTACTGGACTATCCATAAATGGGGATGTTGATGTGCACTCTATATTTGCTGCTTCCTTACCTACTTCACATCCTAGCTTTGCTCCACAGATGCATCTTGAATTGCTTCCTCAGTGGAAAGCTCCTCTTCTTCTCAATGCGAATGTGGAGCTTTTCATTGGTATCCTTTCTGCTGGCAACCATTTTGCTGAACGGATGGCAGTGAGAAAGTCCTGGATGCAACATAAGCTAATCAAATCATCACATGTTGTGACTCGGTTTTTTGTAGCCTTGGTAAGAGTGACTGCATCCTCTCTACCCTCAAATAATGATAAACTTCTGTGAATACATAGTGTTTTGATCTTACTATTTTTCCACTTCTCATATCATAGCATGCAAGAAAGGATATAAATGTGGATATAAGGAAAGAAGCAGAGTATTTTGGAGATATTATTATAGTCCCATACATGGATCATTATGACCTTGTTGTGTTGAAGACCATAGCCATCTGTGAATACGGGGTGAGTAATGGGAGAGGAGACAAAATGTTGCTTATTTATATATACATTTCAAGTTTTTACCCACTCTTTTATCTTGCTATATTATTGGTAGTTATTAAACATGCTTCTTTGCAGATTCGTTCAGTGGCTGCTAACTATATCATGAAGTGTGACGATGACACTTTTGTTGGAGTGGATTCTATCATAAGCGAATTAAGACAAGTTCAAAGTGAAAGAAGTCTGTACATGGGAAATATGAATTACCACCATAAGCCTTTACGCCATGGGAAATGGGCTGTAACTTATGAGGTATAATTTTTCTCTTGGTTTCTCTTCTTTTGGGAGCGCTTATCTGCTTTTATTTTTCTGTTCATGCCTGTTCTGCTTATCATACGTAGTTAGCTTTTTATATACTTATTATGTGGAATCTGGGTTTAAAACAATTGCTTTTACTAGTCCTTTTCAAGTGCATGGCTGTAAATTATCATGATTCATGAGATGCTGCATTGGTGGTTATTGAAATCCAATTAATTTTGCCATTTTGTCTACTTACCCAAACTGTGTACTAGGATTTTAACTTTCCATGACTGTTTTTAGGTTTATTGTTTGCATTTTAGTATTTAAAAAGGAAAATATTACTCTCCTTTCACATAAGATAACTTTTCTCATGTTCTCTCACTTCGATTTTCGAACCCCACCTTTTTTTTCTTGTAATGGTGGGATCCACCCATTTTATCTCTATAACATAAGATAACTATCTTATTTAAAAGGAGACTAATAAAGCCCATTTAAAAAAAGGGTTTCAATTTTCTCAGTAGGAGAAAATTTTATTATGTTATAGACACATCTTGTGAGGGGCCCCACATCTATTAAAAAAAGAAATTGCTGCACGAAAATCGAAGGGTCCCTATAATTCTCCTACAACATGAGAAAATATTTTCCCTTAAAAAAAACAATTACCACTTTTATCTTGGATGTTCTAAGTATAATGAATGTTGGTGATCAAATATTTTATTGTATAAAATCAGTATACATGTGGTCAGGTTTTTAAAATTGTTTAAGTGAAATCATTTGACATTTGTTGTCGGACAAATTTCTGACAGTTGAAACATTTGGATTTATAGGTCATTTCCTTAAAGTTCTGCAACTTATTTTTTGTGCTTGCTGTGTTATTCTGAGTGGATGATTAGCAGAGTCTCACTTAATATGACTTCAATTGAATATAAAATGATATTTATGAGATTCATTGTCTTGGACTATTGGTTTCTTATTTGACTTTCGATTGTCATCTCATGTTCTGTGTGGAAACACTACTGACTGTTATTTTGTTTTTCCCCCCATAACTTTCAGGAATGGGTAGAGGAAGAGTATCCTACCTATGCTAATGGTCCAGGTTACATAGTCTCATCTGACATTGCTCAGTTCATTGTTTCTGACTTTGAGAAGCGCAGATTAAAAGTATGTTTGCAAATTAATCTTTTCTTGTGTATTTGTGTGCGCGCATGCATGTGTATGGATGCGTTAATATCTTCTATTTTGTGCATATATTTATGTTTTGCGGTGCAGTTATTTAAAATGGAGGATGTGAGCATGGGAATGTGGGTAGAGCAGTTCAACAACTCAAGACCAGTAGAGTATGTGCACAGCTTGAAGTTCTGCCAATTTGGATGCATTGAAGATTACTACACTGCACATTACCAATCACCAAGACAAATGACCTGCATGTGGGATAAATTGCAAACTCAGGGAAAACCACTCTGTTGCAACATGAGATGACAAATGGTGAAGTTCTATGGTCTTAAAACATATATCTCTGTAAATACACAGTTTTAGGAGGGAGTTGGGGGTGTAACTTTGATACATCACCTAGTTGTTCGTTGTTTTTTCCCCCCATTTTGATTCATCTCCACACCTAAAAGTATAGATGGCCTATGTATATCATCATATATACAGTGTTGAAGTTGGATACCATAGCAATCAGTGAAGGAACAAAATGATGGTTTTGTGTCACAGAAGCAGAATAAATTTATTTTTCTGCTTTGACTTCATTTTGCAGTTTTTTTTCTTTTCTTGCGGTTTAAGTTGTAGCTACCGTATGAAGAGGTGTACCGTTTTACCTCTATAATTCTAAAGGCCTGTCTATTTTTTTTTTTTGGAGAGCCAAAGCATGAGACCACTATGATAAAACTAAACTTAGAAGACCGGTGCTAAAGGCCATGGACAAGGAGCGGCTCCTGGCAGGCTTCCAGCGACGGGGTACATGAATGAATCGAATCAACACCCGAAAGAGAGGGATTCCAGAGACTGTGTTGGTATGGGACGGTACAGTTGGGAATAATTTATAAGAATTAATTGGTACTATCTATACTAATAAGATGCATTTACTTTTCGGTAGCCCGGAACGAAAGAATTTCATAGTTAAGCGTGTTTGACTTGGGGCAATTCTGGGATGGGTGACCTCCTGGAAAGTTTTTCCGGGAAGTGTGCGAGTGAGGACAAAACACGCTAAAAAGTCTGATGTTAGTGTGTGGAGATAGTCGTTGATCCTTGCAAGTTGCCGAGTGTTATAGTATGTATTCACAGAAGAAATGGAATGGGTGACATTATGTTAAAATGGAATGGAACATATAATCTATTTTATTTCATTTTATATCTAATTATATATATATATATTCTTCTTTGCCTCGATTTATGAGATAAAGATGAAACTATTTTATTTTTTAATTTCCGTAATAAATGTTTTTACTTCATTAAATATTTAAATGTTTGTTTTATTTTATTCTATTTAATTATATTTTATTTCACCTATCATGAGATATTCAAAGTAAAGTTCAGATTTAGGCAGGTTTCAGAAATTTAAAATTAAACTCTTATTATGTAATGTCTGACTGCTTCAAAAATCAATGGCTTTCTCCACATACTAACACAAGACTTTTCAGTGTGCTTTTTCCTCACTCGCACATTTCTTGGGAAAACTTTTCAGGAGGTCACCCATCCCCGAATTGTCCCAAGTCAAGCACGCTTAAATGTTGAGTTCTTTCATTCCGGGCTACCAAAAAGTAGATGCATCTTGTTAGTATAGGTAGTACCAATTAATTCTTATAAGTTATCCCAAACTGTGTAGTCTCACACCTGCGCAGTCTTTGGAATCCCTCTTTTTCGGGTGTCGATTCGATTCATTCATGCATGTAACCCCCCGCTGGAAGTTTGTCAAGAACTGCTCCTTGTCCATGCCCTTTCGCACTGGCAATCACTTCCCGCCCTCGTCGGCGCCCGGGATGTTCCATGCCCACCAGCTTCCGCCTGGTTCGTCCTCGAACCACACCGTACTGGAAGAAAGGCCTGCTCTGATACCACTTGTAATGCCCGGCCGCTTCAAGAATCAATGATTATCCCCACATACTAACACGAGACTTTTCAGTGTGCTTTTTCCTCACTCGCACACTTCCTGAGAAAACTTTCCAAGAGGTCACCCATCCCAGAATTGTCCCAAGTCAAGCACGCTTAACTGTAGAGTTTTTCTGTTCTGGGCTACCGAAAAGTAGATGCATCTTGTTAGTATAGGTAGTACCAATTAATTCTTATAAACTATCTCAATCTGTGCAGTCTCACACCTTCACAGTCTTTGAAATCCCTCTCTTTCGGGTGTCGATTCGATTCATTCATGCATGTAACCCCCCGCTGGAAGCCTGTCAAGAGCCGCTTGTCCATGCCTTTTCGCACCGGCGATCACTCCCCGCCCTCGTCGTCTGCGCCCGGGATGTTACATATTATATGTCAAAAGATAAAAAAATTTAAGAAATTATTGTAGAAGTTGGAAAGCCATGTTATTGGTGGAAATTTTGGAATAAATAATTCATTATTTTTTATTCTACATTTTTTTTAATTCATGTAGAAGTTGGAACAAATCATCTTAATCATATGATTTTTTTTTTCCTTTTCTTCCCGGGTCAAACAATCATTAGCTCAGAGCCGCAGACTACTAGACTTCTGGTCATGGAAGAATCTTGTTAGGTTGACTCGGTCGCATCAATCTAAAGTGGCTTCTAGTCTGGAGTTTATGGCTTATGCATAAGCCATAAAGTCAGTAACTCCTTCCAACGTTGACCCAAAAAAAAGATAAAAGAAAAAAGAAGGGCCTGTTTAAACTGTGTTTTTAGAAATAAATTTTTTGATTTTCAGAATAAAAAAATTTTATTTTTAGAATTAAATTTATAAAATATATGTCTAAGTTGTTTTTGTTTTGTATTTTGACTTTTAACTTTAAAAACACAAAATATACATAAAACACTTATTTCATTAACTATTCCATAAAATAGTTTTAAGAATAAAAAAACAAAACATAACGCAATCAAGCAAACCTGAAAATTTTCCTAATAGTTCTCTTTTGCCATTTTATCCCAGTTTGTCTGAAATAAAAAAAATTAAAAAAATAATCATTTCCAAATTCGCAAAGTTGAGAGATGTCGACATAGTCAAATTTTAAGAATGTTATTTTTGTCTTTTCTCTTTTAGTTGGATTTTTTTTAATCTTGCTTTTACCCTAAATTAGCAGCATCTGTTTGGTTGCTTTTATTATTCGATGCATAGAAACATGTTCAAGATGGAGCATATAAAGCTTTACAAATTATGCCATATGTATATTTTGCTAGTTGATTTTGTATTTAGTACCTTAACATGAATAAGTCTGTAACAATATATGAAAATAATTCAATACTATATCGTTCAATGATAGGTTCAATTAAACATGTAACAGGTTGAATTAAACATGTAACGCTCATATCCAATTTATTTCTTAAGAAAATTAAATTGATTTTTATATACAAAATCGTTCTCAATTTAATCTCTATTGTTTGTAGATATGATAACAACGTTATCTATTTGATCTGGACTTAATATATGCGAGATAGAGGCTCAATCCAATAAAGACTCAGAGTCCTAAAACCACCAAATTTGGCCAATAAGGCAACTCATCCTGCATAATGAGAATCTCTCTTGCTTGGTGACAAGTCAAAATGATTTAACATGAAAGGAAACATCATTCAAGCAACTTGACCATAACTTGAAACCAATTACTGAATGGCAGTACTTGTTTGCAGCTATATCTACTGAATCTAGCTCAACCTTAGACTTCTGAACCAAAGAAAATGAATACAGCCCGATGAAAGATGGCATGAAGCAAGGCATTCTACGCTATATATACAGATGCATTCAACCCAAGTAAGACATCTTTCTTTGAATACTTGAATCATATTGAATACTAATCTGGCTTTAGTGTCGGAGTGCATTGCAAGTACCACCTTCAGTCTCCTCCCAACTACCCAGGTGTCTATCTCACTACTATCTCATCTCGTCACCAACTTCAACATCTCAACAACACCTCCTCTCAATCTTCCTTCTCTTTATCAACACCAATCATCTTCAATGGTGTGTGATCCGATCCAACCCTATATTTGTTGAATCGATCCGTATTCATCCTACATGTATGTATAATAGAAAAGGATTGACTTACGAAAAAAAAAAAAAAAGATGTGACAATGACTTATATGTTAAATTATAACTTTAGTTTTTATAGGTGACCCTCTTTTTTAATTAGGAACCAACGCGTGACATTAACATTTAATGTGGTTGAAGATGCACGAAAAAATCTCACTCTATTATTTACAAAATCGTATTAACTTTTAAAATTACTAAAGATTGAATTCGGTATGTGTATACATATTTTAAAAAAAAATTGGTATGTTTTTTATTCTAATACAAGTTAACATGCGTATCAGCGTATGTATGTATATGTTGTTCGGTTAGGTGCTTTCTAGATGAAACTTTAAGCTGTGATGAAAGTGCCATATTGGTGTGAGAATAAAATGTAGGTATAAAGCTTGCTGCAGCTTTTCAGGTTATTAGAGATAAAGAAAAATAAAAGCATTTGACAAAGAGATTCTTTGTTCGTGGATAGAGGCCAAAGACTTGGAACCCCATTCCATATCCCTTATTGTCTATCCATCCATTATCCATACAACCTTCAATAGGTTTACACTTTAAAGATTCACTGTACTAGCTGTATCACAAACTCAAATGTTGCTGATGGTCCACGAAGCTTTCACTTTTATAATCTAATTGGTTACCTTTATAAAAAAAAAAAAAAAGGTGTGGTGAATTCATATGGTTAAATAATAATGGAGCTGAACATAATGTTATTTAGGTGCACATCATGAAGGCAATCTATTAATAATTCCATCAAGATCATTTTTTTTGGCATTCACTGATTGCAAAACATTAATGAACTAAGAGGAGATTCAAATTACTGTTTGCACGTGCACACATCTGCCACCCGAGGACACAGGAATTGAATGGCCTAATTCTTTTAACCAAGAAAGCCATACATAATTTCCTCCCCTAACCATGAAAGTTCCCTACATTCAAAGCTATGAAACCCCTAAGAAGTATTTTGATTGTTTACTTGGGTCAGTAGCTTGATTGTTAAGTACCATTCATCATAACCTACAAGAAGAACCAAACCAGAGACCATGCCATAGGATAGATCAACCATGCAATCCCTGAAAACAAAAGGGCCAACATAATTTTAGCGTTACAAATGAAAGAATGATAGGCTGCAATTGACAATTAAGATAGGGAGCAATTTTTCTTACCATTTCTTAAACCATTATTATAGTTTGATGTGAAGAAACAATCTGTTGTTGTGTTAATCCCATTAGGACAGTTGCAGATAAATGAATTATAGGCTCCATTGTACCCACAGAATCCATAGCTCCTTTCACAAGCAGCACATGAGCTGGGATAGTCATTTGTGACACTGAACTTGTACTTGAGTGCTATTCCATAGTTCCACTTTTCAGGATCAGATTGTTGATCATTGAAGTTGTAAAATCCTGTATATGAAGGGCATTGCAGCTTCTGCAGATCCATTTCAAACGATGGACCAAGATTGACTGGTGTGTAAACACAGCATGAGGAGATTGGGAGGTTGATAGTACTAATAGGACTGCATGAATATAAAAGACTGCAAATTGGTGTCCCCTGATCACATAGAAGCTTTGAGTTGTTCCCATCATCATAACCATTTGATTTGCATATAGATGATGAATTTATAGAACAGTCTACTAGAGCAAAGATGGTACTATCATCAAAGGTGAATGGGGCATCCCAATCTAAGCCAAAACCTTTGCTAGGCACAGTATAAGAACAAGTTGACATGGTGGGGTCTGAGATATATATGACTTGATTGGTGTAGTCAATTGAGGTAACAAGGTAGGAACCTGTGTGAGTGGTGAAGGTGAGCTTTTGTTGGCTACATGTAACATGTGGTTGGAAACGAGGGTCGCCACAACCAGGGTCACTGCCAAATGGGTACTTAAGAATTTCTTTGCCACAGTTTCTCTGGCAGACTTGAGCAGAGATCAAAGAAGGAAGCAGGAAAAGGAAAATGGAGAGAAGAGGAACTGAAGGATAGCTTAACTCCATTACTATGGAAAGGCTTAGGGAGGACAAGGAAAGAGGTGAAGTAAGAAGAGGAGGGGCAAGCTAAAGAGTTTGGTGCTGCTATTTATTGAATTGTTGAACCATGAATGCCTCTAGCAAGCTAGCAGATGAGTAATTCCTTTTTGAGAATTGAAAATAAAATGGAAGCAACAAGGAACTAGCTTTTTTGTTATATAAGGATTTTCTTAATGTTTTTTACTACATGCTGTTTAGCTTTCTGTTCTATATTTTCTTCCACTAAGTATTAGATTAATTAGATGGTTTGGTTCCACTTGTCATCATCTCTGTTCTTTATCAGTACATTACTACAATTCTAATTTGATTTGCTAGAATGAGCTTTATTTCTCTTCTCTACATTCATCCGTTGTATGTTTTTTAAAATTTAAACTAAAATAAAACGAATCGCATAAGATGCTAGGGCACATTAATTATTTCAGATCTCATACTAAGAGAAACAACATGACCACATGCTTGAGCAGCCCCATTATGACCTGTAACACAAGTCACTGGCAATAGTGCCTAGAGCCTTGACTTCCACTATATCATATGATGAACATTTGGTTTTGAAGTAGATCTTTTCTTTATAGCTGCTGTATGAAAGAATAATATTCCACAAATAACTATGTACGATACATATATGAAAGTCATTACACGTAACTTTTTTTTTTTAAGTATGAAAACCTACAGAATAACACTCTTCCTTCTAAAAATATTTATATTTCAAATATTTTAGGACTTGTTATTTATTTATTTAAAACAATAAGAAAAATTTTAATAAAAGAAACAACAGATACCTACTTCATCAGTCCCCAAAACAAGGGTTGCCCAACGTTTCTATGCTTTTGAAGGCTAATGGTGAGTGCCTACACACTTGCTGCGTATAACAAGTAAAAGGGGAATAGAACTCTAAAAGATATGAGTAGAATAATGTAATAATGATTACATTTATGCTTTTCATCTTCTTTTTCCTCCGATCCCTATAATATTTTCTTGTTATTATTATCCAATTATTATCAATTACACCGTGCCTTTAGCCATTTGGATTAAAGTTGGTGGAAGGAGGAATATTTAAAACGCAAATAACTTTAAAAGAGAATATATTCATTCATCTATAATTATACTTTTTCACTTTATTTGTTTACTGCACCCTTTTTTTTTTTAATCTCAGATCTACCGATCACAATTTATTAGATGAACATTTCTAATGTCACATGGTACAATTTCTCCACTATAGTTCAACATGTGAATCTTCTCGACTTCACATGTACGTTTATAAATTTTTCTACGGAGGTAAGTTGTGTTTTGATAATTTAAGTATGGGTTTTATAATTCTCGTGTTGAAGGAGAATTGAAATCTCAAGTTGTAGAGATAAAAAGCACGTGAGACCCATGTGTTAGAAAAAATTATATGCAAGACCCATGTCAGCATGGAAATCGAAAGGTGCGTAAGAAAATTGTAATTCTCATGTTAAATGAGAATTATAAAACCCTTCAAGTATTACATCTTTCAATTTATCAGATCTAGAATATTAAAAAGAAAAAAGAAAAAACATAGTCAGCGCCTATAATGGAAAGAAAAATAAAAAATATTGTGTTTGTAATTAATAATCAATGTGAATAAAGCAGGCTGGTTCTTCAAAACCAAGCATGTTTGGGAATGAGAACCTCTTAAATTTGGATTAGTGGGTGAATGAGCTGAACCCATTTGCTTCATTGTAGTGAGGAATCTGGTTTGTCGGGTAACAAAATAATGAAAATGTATCCAATTCTGTGGCAGAAGAAAGGGGGCACTTCTTCTCTGTGAGTGATAAATCTGTTGTCAAAGAAAGCATACACTGAATGAACAATGATAAAGTGCAGAGTGGAATATGATGTGGTGGTTCCTTTGCTTGATCTTAGCACCAGTCAAAAGTCAAAACCACTTGGGATCTGAGATGAGAGTGCTTACATCTATAACTTCATGACCCTTCTTACAAAGTGCTTAAATCGTTATTAAATATATTATTTGAAGGTTAAAGTGAATGTATTGCTCCTAAAACGATATAGTTTTAGATTGAAAAAATTAAAAAATTATAATGAAAAAGACTATTAAAACTCTGAAATAAATTATAATTACAAAAATATCTTGATTTCCGTCTCCAACAACGTCGTTTTGGGCTGAATATAGATAAGTTATCTATATTGACGGTAGAAAAAACGAACCTTTTTTTTAACCAAAGAAAATTAAATAAAAAAATCTTAACATGATAATATTTTTCTAAACATATAATTTATACCATTGTGTTAAAAATTTAATAAAGAGAACTAAACCATTCTTGTGGTCCTATGATCATCATATCTGCCTCAATTGAATTAGTGGATAAATGGGTACATGATTTTTTTATTTTTTTTTGAAAAAAAGCCTGAAAATTTCAAAATAATAAGATTTCTCAAATTAAAAAAAAAAATAACACAATAAACTACTTGTGTGAAATTAATGATATAACAGTGTCAATTTTGCCAAAACAGTTGGTATTAACCAAGGGATTTGTACTGCATACTATACAATTGACTAGTGAAGTCCCCCGTCCTTCCTATTTCCTAGAACACTGGGCACAATTGGTCGTAAGCTCTCCAACATACTTCTTGAAATCAGATAAAGATTTACCATCCTATACCTAAAATTGGCTGCAGCACCTGGCCTTCCCGAATTCTCATAAGATGCATATTTAAATCTAACAAATTGTAGAGGAGGAGTAATCCATCTTCACGTCAAATTAACAAATCCTAGAAGAGGAACCCGCTAATACATTAATTTAATGTAGAAATTGCAGCAGGTTTTAAGACATGATTTATTGTTATTTATAACATATAGAAAGTTTTTTTTTTTTTTTTTTGGATAAGTAACATATAGAAAGTTAGCAGCTGGTGCAATTGATGGCTATGTCTGATTAAAACTAGTTATTTTGATTATTAAATTGTAACGAATTTTCAATTCAAGAAGCACCAGTGGTCTAGTGGTAGAATAGTACCCTGCCACGGTACAGACCCGGGTTCGATTCCCGGCTGGTGCAAAGATTTTTGGTCTTCTGTCCTTCCAATTCTTTGTCTGCATAATATCAAAGAGGAACGTGAACCTGCGGGCATGGCCCATTCAGTTTTGTGGGCTCAGGGCTCTATAGCTCCTAGCTTGCAAATGCAAATAGAAGAAAAATAAATAAAAAATCAAATCAATAGAAGAAATAAAATTAATTTTTTTTTAAATTTTAGATCCATTTTTTGTTTTAATATATATATATATATATATATATATGTGTGTGTGTATGTATTAAGTGTAACTACATTGAGACATCATCGTAAAGCAGAAAAATCTGGTGATGAACTGTAACAAGAACTAAGAGGAAGGAGAGAAAAATAATAATCGAGGAAGAGAGGGAAGAATTGGCAAACTTTTTTTTGTGTGTATTTTGTGCGCCCCTGGGCTACTAAAGAGATAACCAAGTTCTGATACATGAGGAAATTTGAAAATTGCAAGGAAAATACAAAAATTTTAATGGGCTATTAAACTAGCAACTAAATGTGTTTTTAGTTGGGCTCTCCACGTTTGGACCTCTGCACTGGCCTTCTCCTAGCGAGCCCAGTGCCTTGTCTCAGTTTCAATGGGATGAGGGTCAATATTCTGACCCGTTTCATGCCTAAACGGATGTATACTATAGTATAGTCCACATAATATATGGTGACCATAAAAGAACTTTTTTTATCAGAAAATCTGTCTATTTTTTCCAATGTTTCATTTTTAGCTCTTCTTTGACATAATCACAATCAGAGAATCATTTTCTTTTTCTAGAATCTCTGCAATGCAAATATTGTGGTCACCAAATGAAAGTATTTTATGGTATGTACGTAATGAGTCACTCTCGTATTAAGCCAAGTTGAATACAAATATTCAAATATATATATACGATTCTACGAACAACACTATTCATTAACACTTTATAAAATTTGAACTGTTAATGCTCAAGATGTTATTTATCCAGAGTTAACTCTGACTAAAAAATGAGCTTAAAGCTAATGAATTCGACTTTTTGATGATTTGATTATATCATGAAACAATTGGTGTCTTAGTTTATGTGAAAAATTAAGATTGAAGGGGATGGGAGAATAGAATTATCACAAAAGCTCAAAGATCATGGCCAAGCACTTGTCATATTATTCTCTTGCCATATAATGTTTACCACAATCCTCACCAGATTCAACTAGGAAAGCTGGTGTGCATGCATAGACTTTCCTGAATAATTCAAAAAGCTTTTCCATTCTTCAAGAACATGGAGATTTCCATATAAATATTGTGTTTTCCTGTGCATTTTGTCACCATTGAAGCAAAACATGCAAGAGATATAGAGTTAGGTCAGTTGTCTCCTACAGTTCCCCGGAACACTTCACTAGGGCTCTTCTAGTTCTTGCTAGGAAAGGGATTTTTGGTGTGGTGTCATATCACCTTACTGAAGTGTTTGGGGGAACTCTGGGTGTGTATGACAGCCAAAGTAATTAATTTTCAGTCTCTAAATTCAGCATAGTTCATTCTTTAAAATTATTGTCAAACACTAATAACACTAGTCTCCAGAGACTCATTTTGTGTGCCCAGCCCAAATATGAATGTAGCCAAATTTTAGATGAAAACCTTACATTTTGTATGAGATTTACATTTTATACTAACGGAAAAGTTTCTTCCTTTTTAAAAGACACAAATTTAGATTTTTTTATGAGAGAGATAAACATAAAAAGGTATGACTCACACCTTTATTTTTATTTATTTTTTATTTTTTCAATAAGACGCGTATCTCTTTATATCAATCTCTCTCTTAAAAGGACATAAATTTATAACCTTTAAAATTTTATACATTTTTCCCTTATATGAATGTATCCCAAATATGAACATCCAAAATTTAAGATACAGAAACACAGCATTACACGTGCGAGTATGTACGGATGCAAGTCAAATGAAATTAAATCTGAGCACAAATAACATGTAGAATTTTTTTAAAAAAAAATTATTTATTTTTTATATTTTAATTTGTTTTAGATAATTTACCATGTGTTCTAATAAGGAATTAGCTTTAAGAGCAGTACTCTAAAAATAAAGTGACTGGAGGAGGTTTAGTGTGAGATACCTCTAGGTTATATACCCAAAAAAAATTGAGTTTTTTTTTATGAAGGAGGTGCCCGCTGTCCTATTAAGTGTCAAACTATGGGAGTGATCCTCTCATATTTAATAAAACATGATATATTGACATGGTCATATGGGTAAATCATAATCATTCAAAGGTGGATCGAAATACTTTGGGGGTCAGAGGGAAGATTTATTCCCCTCGAAGAAGGATTAGTTTTACCCTTCATCCGGTGACAGTGGTCAATGCACCCTATATTTCAATAAGGAGCTAGCCTTAAGAGCCGTACTCCGAGGATAAGGTGGCAGAAAGAGGTTAAGATCCAGGTTATATACCAACAAAAAAAAAAATCTTTGAGTTTTTTTTATGAAAGAGGTGTCCACTATCCTAATCGTTTAGATGGGTTTTTTTTCTCTCCAAAAGCTGCTTTTCTCAGGAAAAAAATACTTCTCACTTTAAATTCGTTTGGATATCTGCTTTAAAAAAAAACAGAATTGACAAAAAAAGCTAAAAACTTACTTTTTTTAGAAGCTAAAAATTTTAGCTTCTAAAAAAGCAGAAGTCAAAAGCCAAATATATTTTTTAAAAACTAAATATTTTTATAAAAATATAAATAGCTTTAACTTTTGTAAAAAATACTTCTAAGATAAGGAAGAGATAAAAGCTATTTTTTCTAGAAGCCCAAACAAACGGAATCTAAGTGTCAAACTATGGGAATGATCCTATTAAATAAAACATGATATATTGATATGGTCATGTGGGGGAATCATAACCATTCAAAAGTGAATTAATTATAATAAGAAGAGAGAGAGAATACTGAAATAGGTAGTTACAAAGTCTTCATCGTTGATTTACCTTTATATAATTGTGATTTTTTCACATGATTATATCATATTTTATTTAACATGAGAGGATCGATTTTCGCCAAACTATACTTAAGTGTTGGCTAAGTCTTCAAGCCGTGATTTGTGCGAGCCAAAAAAATTGAAATTAAATTTTTAATTGGACACCTAGTGAAAAGCAGTGGCGGACGTCACAAAAATTTGAGAAATTTTTTTTTTTCCAAAGAGGTGGGTAATTTAGGTCAAGTAAAAAAAAAGATTTAGGAAGATTGAAAAGAAAAAAGTAAACATAGACCTAACCATGGTAGTTAAAATCGGGATCTTACCTAAAATCGAAAAGAGGATAAAAAATCGTAAAACATAAAATCTTAACATAAAAAAAATCATAAAAAATCATAAAATCGTAAAACTGTTTGAAATTTTGAAGAAATCGTTTTGATTAAAAAAAATCGTAAAATCACTGATTTAAATCGAGATTTTAACTAACATGGACCCAACCCAACAACTTCTATAATTAAAAGCTTAAAGCTTAAACTATACCCCATTGCTTTGTCTCTTCTTCTTTTTTTGAAACATAAATTTTATTAGCTCCAAATCTTAATAGACATTAATGATTCCTGAAATTTAATCTTTATCAAGAGGAGGAGAATTGCACGAGATTTTTCACGTTTTTTTGTAAAACAAAAGTGGCCAACTTTGGATCAAATAGACATCGACAGAGGTGGATTTTTTATCAATTAACCCCTACAATTATACTATATTTTATAAATGTCTTTTTGTAGTGTTTATTTATTTTTTAATTATCATTATCGATTATTTCTCCAAAGCTTTACTTTTCAAGGAACGAAGAATTGAAAAATACTTTTGTGATAGTTCTATTGTAACAACTTAGTTGACTCTTGATTATTATTACTTTTATGTTAAGTTAAAGTTTTCTTTTATTGTTTATATTTTTTTAATGTATTTAAAATTTTCTTAAAAAAAATCTTCAAGGGCGCTGCCCCCGAACCCCCGTCCTAAGTGTGCAGACATAAAAAAAAAATTCTAGGTCTGGTGAAAAGTGTTCAACAGAATTTTTTTTCAATACATAGATGTACTTATTTCGGTACATTTTTTTTTTCAAATAGGGAAATTACTTTTTCTTTTATATCCCTGTTTTTCTTTATTATTCCCATTAAATTCCAAAAACTTTTTCCATTAAGTAAAGATGTACCTACATATAGGGGTGTTCATCAACCGATCCAAACCGATTCAAACCGCGAAAAACCGAACAAAAACCGTAAATTTTAATTGGATTGGATGGGTTTTCGGATGGGTTGATGAAAACCGATCCAATCCAAACCGATCCAATATATTAATTATCCTCTACCTACTTGTCAATTCCCCAATCATAACCTAAAAATTTCTAAACTCAAGACTCATTGACTCGTCAAAAAAATTTAGTCACATTTTTTTTTTTTTTTTTGATAACATTTTTAGTCACATTTCATCAACTATAGTATTGTTTACTGGTATTTTTGTATTTCAAACAAAAAAAATTACAAAGCCAATATATACAAAAGATGTTATTTGCACAATAATCATGAAACTAATTTTAGGATATTCAAAAAACCGAAAACCGATCCAATCCAAACCGAAAAAAATTGGATTGGATCGGATCGGATTTGAAAAAAAATCTAAATCGAATGGATGATTACATGATCAAATCGAAGGGATTGGATCGGATGAGTTTTGCTTCCAAAACCGATCCAATCCAGACCGCAAACACTCTTACCTACATATGATGTACCCAAGGTTTTCTCGCATTTGAATAAGTTATTCACGTGCTCAAGGAATGTTTGTGTTAATTAGGGGTGTAAATAGGCTACGTCGGCCTACAGGGACCTATGGCCTAGCCTATATAAGATCAGACTCAGCCTATTAAATATAGTCAAATAGAGCAGGTTTAGACTTTTAAAAAAGCTTATTCAGAAAATAGAGCATAGACTTTTTTTTATATGTCGGGCCTATAAGCCTACAGATCAGGCTATTTCAGATTGTTTATTTTTTAAAAAATTAATAAAATTATTATTTTTAATGATTTTGAATAATAAAGTAATACTATTTTAATTATTTTTTTAAATATTGAATATTTGATTAGTTTAAACAGACTAATAAGTCTAGACGAAGATTTTTATTTTTTAAATATATGTCAGACCAAACTTATAATTTGGACCTATATAAGACTAACAGGTCAGGCTATACCTAAAATATTTTACACAAACTTAAGCTATTTAAACTAAAATCCAACCTAACCTAACCTATTTACAGTTCTAGTGTTAATTTCCACAAACACAAAAAAGAAGAAGGAATGTTGGTGCTAGAAGCATATTCGACACTCTCAACAGCGCATGTGCTTCATAAAATTTAATTAAATGTAAATTATGTTTTTAAATTTTAAATTACTCCATAACTTTATTAATTCTTACTAGATTTAGCATTTTATACAAATGTTTGATTGCTTAAATGTTAATTTTGTTGGTGTTTACTTTCTTAAAAGAAAGAAAAAAAATTGTGTACTCTGACAAATGGCCGAGTGTTCCTTGGCTTTCCCTGTCTTGAATTGGATAATAAAATATATTTTCCTTTTTAATATTATTTAGTACTTTTAAAATTATAATTTAGTTTAAAATATATATTAATTTAAAAAATGATAAGTTTTTATTTTATCGTTTGATAGGTGATGGACATTTAATTTAATTAATGGCACATTACGCAATGTTGACAGTGTAGTTGGTAGTTGGTGCAAGGGAGTAGAGTAGATAAGTAAGGCTCTGTTTGATTGTTGTTCTTGGAAACAGTTTTTTATTTTTCAGATCAAAAAAATTAAAAAACTCGTTTAGTAAGGTCTGTTTTGTAAAAAATATTTTAAAAAATATAACTGTTTTTTTATTTTTAGAATCAAATTTAGAGAACATGTCTGAGTTGTTTTTGTTTTCTGTTTTGGTTTTTAACTTTCAAAAAGAAAAAAATACAGAAAACAACTGTTTTCATGACTATTTTACAAAACAGTTTTAAGAACAAAAAAACCAAAACACAATCAAACAGGCCCTAGGACTCTCGGTTTGATTCTCATTAATCCTATCTTGAGGAGAAACGTAAAAATTATTAATCTATTTCGCATTCGAATTAGTCTCGGTTCAAAAAATTAATGTATCTGAGGAGCCTACTCACCTCAAACAAATAATTAAGATTGATATAAAATAATAATAATAATAGATAATTATCTCATGTCACATAAATATAAAAAGAAGAACATGCAATTTTTTTTTTTTCTTTAATTTGTGGACTCCACATTTGTTATTAGTGTAGAAAAAAAAAATTATCTCATTTTTACCCTATTAAAAATAGCAGTTGTGGACTTCTGGAAGTTGTGGTTGTGGTTGTGCAGCAACCCTACTCAATTATTGAATTTATTGCAGCTGCTTCGGACCACAAACATGTTGTCTCAACTTTCTTTGTTCACATAGATAAGCTCCTCTGTACTTTGAACCTTATTATAGCATTGTCCTGTCTTGGAAAACTTAAGCACTCATAGCGATGGCCAGAAATGACTTGAAGCTTTTGGGTGCATGGTTCAGTCCCTTTGCCCTGAGGGTGCAAATTGCCCTTAACATCAAAGGTTTGGACTATGAGAATGTTCAAGAGACCTTCAATCCCAAAAGCGACCTGCTTCTTCAGTCCAATCCTGTGCACAAGAAAATCCCAGTTTTCTTCCATGGAGATAAACCCCTTTGTGAATCTGCAATCATAGTTGAGTATATTGATGAGGTTTGGACCAATGGTCCCTCCATTCTTCCTGCAAATGCTTATGACCGAGCTAATGCACGATTCTGGGGTGCCTACATAGATGACAAGGTACTTTTATTACTCCTTTTAGTTTTTTTGGTTATTAATTCCTACTTAAGTTCTTGTTGCTTCTTAATCATTTTGGTGCATTTTTTTTTTTTTTCAACTGGGAGTGTAGTGGTTTATGTCCATGGTAAACATTCTAACTGCTGAAGATGATGAAGCAAAGAAGCCATACTTTGAGCAAATGGAAGAAGTGCTTGTGAGGATGGAAGATGAGTTCAACAAGTGCAGCGAAGGAAAGGCCTTTTTTGGAGGAGATAAGATTGGATTCATTGATATTGCTTTTGGGAGCTTTTTGAGTTGGTTATATGTCACAGAGAAGATGAATGGAAAGAAGATGCTTGATGAAGCCAAGACTCCTGCTTTGGTCAAATGGGCTTCAAGCTTTGCTGCTGATCCTTCTTTGAAGGGTCTTCTACCAGAGACTGACAAGCTTATTGAGTTTGCCAAGGTTCTTCAGCAAAAATTGAGGGCTGCTGCTTCTGCCAAATAAACAATATTGTTGAGATGACTTGCTTTTCAATTTGTTATCTAAATTTGGTTATCCCTGTGTTTTCTTCTGCTTTTGGACTGTAATGTTAAAAAACAAATTAGACATATTTGAACTGGTTTGCTTATTATGTATGGAGAATCAATCCATTTACAATGCCAAATTTGGATAAAATCCATGTCCCAACCTAAATAAAGAAAGGTTTCGGCAGCATATTCTGTATTCCTTTAAATAGCATAATCTATTTTTTTTTTTTATATGTACATCTCAGTTCTCAGCAGGTACCCATATTCTGCTATTTTATTCCAGTACTCCATTTTCTTTTGCCCAGTCTTTTTCCATTTTTCAATTTTCTTCAAATTCAATGCTATAAAATATGTAATTTGCATACTTACTTGATTCCCCCATCACTTGCATTCGAAAGCTTTCAGGTGGTAGAGTTAGATTTTTTAAGAGCACAGATATCTATCTATCAATTTTTTCCCAGTAATTTAAGAGAGTCTTTGGTACGAGAGAAATTTTTTGGTATTCGAGAATCACGATTAATGGGAATACAATAGAAATTGAATTTACTTGGAATCTTACGAAAAATGTGTTTGGTTCGCTAAAATCTTATCGAAAATATTAAATAAAGATTACTGATTCCATGTTTGATTTAAATCAAAATATGACTTGGAATATGACCCCAAATTATTTTTACTTTTGTAATTGATAGATTGGGTCTAAGTTTTTAGGTGTGTTGAAGTATTTTTGTCTCAAAAATTATTGTTGTGCTTTCCTTTCCTTGGTACTCTGAATTACCATATTATTTTTGATAATCTGAATAGTGATTTTTCTTTATAAATCAAATTACCGGTAATCCTTGGATATCTGGGAACTGGTCTTTGTTCTTTCTACCAAACATGATAATTGAATTTACCAAAGAAAATTTATCAGTAATCTTTTTGAAATACTTGTACCAAACACCTCCTTAAACTAGTGTAAATCACTCTAGAAAATGTTGGAATTCTTATAGAATTCAAATCTTAAGTTAGATGTGAAGAAATATGTCTGTTGAGCAATGAAAAATCATTTCTGTTCAGTTAACAAAAAAATAATATGAAAATCACTCAAGTTAGGCGTGCTTTTTTTTCTTTTTCTTTTTTATAATCGTTGATCATAACTCATACGTAATGTTGAAACGCACAACATATAGTATTTTTTTTTGTCTTAGATCAGTGACTTTTGAAGGGGCTATTTGATAAAAAGATTACCTTTTTTTTTGGTAATAAGAAAAGAAAAATATTACTTTTGAATAGGCTAGTGGACTTTTGCTGTAGAGTGTAGACTTTTGAGTAGCCCAAATTGACATTTTAGAAACATGAATTTATATTGAAAAGAAATGTGATCATATAGTAACGTGTGATTTACACATTCATTTTAAAATAGAATAAAAAAATATTGACGTTATTAAGTATACAATAAAACTTTCATACTTTAGTTTTGTGTCTGTTAAATACATTTTTATGATTGAACGAGGAAATGAAGTTTGATGGAAGTATTATTTTTTATTTACAATAAACTAACGTAAATATTTATTATTAATCAAATTAATAAAGTGAAGAAATTATTTTCTTCGCATATGAAAATCAATTAAGAGTACAAAAAAAGATGTAAGGACATTTCACACAAAATGAAAAGACACATATTGTCGTAGGAGAAAACATTTAAAAAATTATTTCATTCTAAAGATGGAAGGCTCGAATTTATAATATAAATGAGAATTATTTTTAAAAAAATTAAGATTTTTTATTAAAATATTTATTTTTATGTTTAAAATAAAAAATTGAGATCTAAAACTGTAAATCTCAATTCATTCAAATTTTATTGGAGAACGATAGAAGTTATGAGGTTGAAAGATATATATCGGCAAAGAAGGTTAGAGGTTGTTGACCATAATAGTTAATTGAAGAAATACAGCAAACTTAATGGGTTTTGGTTAGGATTACCGAGTCGAGCCTTCTAAAATAAAACAACAAAAATTTATCCAAACAGAATATACAATTAACAATACTAGTAATTCCATAAATATTTATAAATTCAATGTATATCCAAACAGCATAATATAGAATAATATCATTCAAAAAGCCTGTTTAACCAATAAAATAGGATAAAATAAATTGAGGAGAAAGAGAGAGCTATTATAAGTAGTATAAAAAAATATAAATAAAAAATAATATACTAGACTAGCCTGAGAGACTCTAAGGCCGAGCTTTTGAATTGGAGTCTGAGACCTTTTTATTAAACGATGTTTTATACAAGTTCAAGTCTGGTGCTAACAACTAATTTTAGACATATAAGCTCAGGTCTTTACGAGTCGAGACAAAGGCCCCTGATTCGTTTAGCACCCTTAATTTTGTTTTATATCTATTTTTGTGACGGACTGAATTTATCTACCTTTCAAGTTTAGCAACACACCTTTCATTTAATAAGTAATCTTAATGGGATTAAATTGTTGAAATTCTCATTTTTGTTTTGTTTTTTTTTATTACTAAAATTATTTATAAAATGAAGAGGTACGTTTGTTTTTGTTTGATGCATTAAGGAGAATATTAATTAAAAATTTTAAAGTATAAGATTATTTTTAATTTTATATCGTACCCCTAAAATTCGGTTTACAATTAACCACATTCGATAATTATATGAAAAATGAGATATGTTATTCTACTCTCTTTTTTTCATGCCTACATGAAAAATTATTATAATATTAAATAATTTTAAATTAATAGCCATATTTCTTATCACATTCATCACAACCCAATCGTATTACATGCAACATTTACTATTAAACCAATGTAATCCGTTTTTCATAATGCTTCTGTTATTTATTTATTGCATATAATTATATAAATTCACTTTAATCCATGGTGACACATGGGAATGAGTGTAATTTAACATGTTGAGGTCAAATGAAAATATCTTAATTATTGATAAACAAATTAATGATGATGAAAAATATTAATATAAAGAATGACAAAAAATCATTAATTTATTCATAAATAATTAAAATTATATTATTTCAAAGAAAAAAATATTTCTCCAGTGATTAAAAATAAAATTATTTTTAGTGAGTCCATAATAATATTATTTTAAATTGAAAAATTAAAATAATAAAAACTAATATAACTTTAAGATAAATTGAAAGTACAAATTTTTTAAAAAAAATTAAAAAATTTCTTTTTTTAAAACCAAAAACAACGTCATTTTTTGAGATAATTAATCTCTTGTTCACTTGAGACACCCTAAACCCTAACCCTTACTCAACATGGTCATAAATAAGGATTTCTCTTTTCTCACTTAATTTCTTCTGCAGTATTGAGCTTTGGCGGTATTTATCATGCACTTCTGGGACCCGAGACTCTTGAAGAATCTTTTCCATTCTTCGGTTATGTATGGAAAGATAGAAATAAAATGACTACCATTTTGGGTATTCACTTAATCTTATTAGGTATAGTAAGAGAAAGTATTCTCCTACTATAAACACAATAAGTGATGGATCCTACTTTTCATTAAAAAACAAAAATAAAAAAAATTATTGCACGTATTTCGATGTCTCTTTACTATGTGAAAGAATTCTCACGTAACATGAGAATTCTTTTCCCCCATAAATAATGCATGAAAAGTTTTATTTCCTTGATACAGTAACAACATCTTAACAGAGTGAACGAAGCGTCCGAATTTGATAACACATAAACAAATATTAATAAATAATAGTAGTTCAATTAGTATTAAGAAATTGAATAGGTTAGATGAAAATACGTGTTCAATTATTTTTAGTATTATTTTTACGAGAAATTTAAAGCTTTAAAAATAATGAATTTATTTGAATATTAAAAAAAATGAAATAATTAAAGTGAAAAGCACCCAGACGTTCTGAATCCTAACTTAATGGGGGGAAGTGGGCCTTAATTTCTTTTTTTGGTACACTAATTTTTTATTCTTTTCAACGTGAACATTGATTAAACAAACATCATCCCTCGCCCCCACCGGATAAGACCTCACAATTCTTGTCGGTTTCTCAGGTTGCTCTTATTTCCCTTTCATGTATAAACTCGAAAACCACGACGCTAATGGTTTTGACTTGAGAATTTTGACAGAGCCAAGAAACGATGGAAGAAAGTGTGAAATTGGACAGATGGGGATACGAGGTTAGAACATCCTCTCATCACTGCATTTCAGCCATCAACTCCTACTACTATCAGGTTTGTTTGTGTTTTTGTGTGTGTGTGTGTGTGTGTCACATTTCATATCAATGTTTTTCTTTTCTTTGTTCAAAACTCTTTAATATTCTCAAATGGGGTCTCTCTTTTTTCAATGAAAAGGAGCTCAGCTATGGTAGAGAGAGGTCTGTGATTCTGGAAGCGGTGGCTCATGACAAAGACTGTGTCTTGGCCAACATCTTAGCATCCCATTTCCTTTATTCCTCTGCTTCTTCTAAAGCTCTCCCTCTTCTTCATGCCGCTAAGTCACACCTTGTAATCTCTCATTTGCTTCCTACTAATGCTCTTTCTTTCTCCCAACCCCCAAAATTAAAATTAAAATTAAATAAAAATTCTTCTTATGCTTGATTTAGAATTCTGTTGTCGCAGGAACATGCAACCTTGTACGAGAAACTAGTTTTCGATGCCATCAGTTATTTGATATCTGTAGATAGAGACGATGATGTAGCTGTTGAATTGCATTCTAAGGTGAGTGGATCCCTTAAATAATGTAAAACCTCAATTTAGTCCTACACCAGTTTCATTAGTTTGAGGACCAGTTTGATGTGAAAAATAACATTGAGAAACCAAGTTAATGTCAAATTTTGACATGTATTTATTACTGGAGGATTAAACTGACGACATTTATATCTTTGAGGACCTAGTGAGTATTTACTCAATATTCAATAATACAATTTTCATTGTGTGCATTGCTTTGCTGCTTGTTTATATATGCAATATAAAATCACTCATATCAGGTGATTGTCATCCTCTTCATGTAAAATGTTGGAGGTTATGAGTTTGAGAGAGAAGGGTTTAGAGGTGCTTGAAGTATTACACCAAGAGACATCAAAGTTTGGAATGCTCAACAGTCTTACCTTCAGCTTAAGAAACCCTAGATATAATGCAAGCTATTGGGCTCCAGCCCATATGGACCCAAATAACCATGCTTTCACCTATTGGGCTTATATGTGAACATACTATTGGATTATATTATTAATATACCCAACAATCTCCTCCTATGTTCACCGTATAACACAATCCAATAGAGTGATCAATGTAATATTCAAACAAATATGAATCATTCATATCCAGTCCAAGATAACTAACTCGGATCAATCAAAGAGTTTTAACTGTAAAACATTAAACTCAATAGTCATTTTCAATCTAAATAAATAAATCATCATTATCATGAATCTGTTCTGAGACCAACATACCAAAGTAAATATTTAGAGTTTTAGATTCAATCTAAACTCATCCAAATCCCAACATCCAAAATAAGTCTCAAAATCTGTTCACAATCAATAATGTTCATAAATTAAAGATAGCAAAATGTAAGTCTCAAATAAATGGACTCCATCAAAATGGGCAACAGCGGGTGAACTGTCAAGTCCCAACATACTCTAAATGATATATTCATTCATCAAGGAGGTGATCTTAGTCAAGATCCCTCTCACTAAGCTCTCCTCCATCTCTGCCATCCTCTGTAGAATATCAAGTATGAATTTCATATTATTATGAATTCAATTGGTTGAATAATCTACCAAAGATGTCTAGTTCTACTAAAAGAACTTAGCATCATATCATAAGGCAAAGAAGAACATATATTAATGTCATAAAGCATCGCAATATTATGTTCATAATCATCGAGCCGGTTTCATAAATTATGAACAAGGCCTAAACAGTTTGTTTTGCAAAGATCCATCAACTTAAGTTTATTTGTAAGAGAATAACTATTGTCTAGTTTCAATGAACAGAACCAATAGTCAAGTTACTTACAATAACCTAATCATGTGATGTCAAGTTTCAATTAAGAATATGACCCATAGGCTTCTTATGCAAACAACTATTTCAATGTTTCAATTTGGAATGTCACAATTACTGATTCCTCAAAGTCAAATAATCTAGCATCAAGTTTGGAATGAGATCATTTAACCAAAAGGATGGTCCAAACCGGTTGGATTGAATCATCAAGTTTGGAATGACACAAGTTTCCCAGGTAGAACCTTTGAATCAGGTTCAAGTTATCTTCATCAAGTTTGGAATAAGACAACTTACCCTTTTCAAATTAATCAGCAACTATGAACATCGATGAAACATATAAACAATGCTTATTATTTTTGGCCAACAAAAGAAAGATTCGATAATTCAAAACACACAATTAAAAGGTGAGTAAATGGTAATTAAGACTTGTCTATATAGTCTTTAACCCCATTTCCCCCACTGCTTTGAATAATCGATCTTTAGGCATATCTTTTGTGAGAGCATCAACCAAGTTATCCTTCGATCTCACATCGATCAAGGTGATAACTCCTTGTTTTCTCAGATAATTCAACAACGCATGTCTCAATCTTATATGTCTTCTCTTTGAATTAAAGAGAGCATTTTATAATAACTTGGACAACTGCTTGATTATCACATAATAGGCTTAAAGAATTAATCTTTAGCCGAGTCAAAGGAATATCCGTAATCCGATGCTTTATCCACTTTGCCTCTTCGCCGGCTAAGGCTAAAGCAAAAAGTTCTGATTCCATAGATGACAATGCAATACAAGTCTATCTTTTGGATTTCCAAGTAATAGTAGCTCAACCCAAAGTGAATACATATCCACTGGTGAACTTACTATTTCTGATTTCTGAACACCATGACGTATCAGAATATCTATCCATAATTGAAGGATAACCAGAGTAGTGTAGAGCATAATCTTTAGTAACTTTAAGATATTGCACCAGCCTATCGAGGGCATCCCAATGCTCTTTACTAGGATTACTAGTGAAATGACTCAGCATGCCAACTGTAAAGGCTATGTCAGGTCTAGTGCAACTTGCAGCATATATGAGACTACCAATCAGTCTTGAATACTTCAACTGATCCACACTGGTCCCTTCATGAGAACTTAGTCTTTTATTATAATCACATGGTGTCTCACTCAGTTTGCACTCACTGTATCCCCAGGTAGAAAGTAGCTGCTTAATATAATGAGTCTGGCTAAGGGAGATAACTTGCCTATCAAAGCTTACTTTCATACCAAGAATGGTATTAGCAATACCAAGATCTTTTATGTCAAATTCTTTAGCTAAATTAGCTTTCATGTCACTCACTACAGAATGATCAAAACCAAGAATTAACATGTCATCCTCTAGTTGTCTTTACATCCATTTCATGCACTACATAGTGTTCAATAGATGTCAAAGCAAGAAGAATTCTTATAGTTGATAGATAACACACAGGTGAGTCGACACCAAAATAGTCTACTTCACTTTGTTGTCTATAGCCTTTAGCTACTAAATGTGCTTTGTATTTGGCTATCGATCCATCACTATTCAGTTTCTTCTTCACTACTAACTTACAACCGATAGCCTTAGCCCCTTTCGGCAAATTGACCAGTTGTCAAGTATGATTATGCAGCAGAGAGCTCATTTCATCATCTATGGCTTCTGCCCACAATAGAGATTCCCTAGATCTCATTGCTTCCTGATAGGAGAATGGATCATCCTCTAGATGGTAAGTGACAAAGTCCTCGCCAAATTCTTTAGGAACTCTCTCTCGTAGATACTCCAACTAGAACTGATTCAACAGCCAGTTGTATGGGGTAAGTGTCAGAAGGGCTTGCTTCAGATTCTATAGGAGATTCTAAAATCATATCTGTAGATCCAGAAACACTCAAGCCATGATCTTTGATAAACTTATTCTCAAAGAATTCTGTATCTCTGGATTCTATCACCGTAGTTGTAAATAGATCCAAAAATCTATTTGCAGCACTGTCTTCTGCACTTCCTAGATATACACAAGTAATGGTTCTAGGTCCCACCTTATGTCTCTTAAGATCTTGTATTCTTACATAAGCAATATATCCCCAAGTCTTAAGAGTATCATATCTACAAGAGCGCTTATGCCATATCTCATAAGGAGTCATAGACAACTTAGAGTGCGGCAACCTGTTCAGGATGTGATTGGCAGTTAGAACTGCTTCTCCCCAATAGGAAGAAGGCATGCCAGCTATAAGTAACATAGAGTTAAACATTTCAGTTAATGTCCTATTCTTGCGCTCAGCAACACCATTTGATTGGGGTGAGTAAGGAGCAGTAGTTTCAAGTATTATGCTCTCCGAAGCGCAAAATTCCTTGAACCCTGTCATTGTGTACTCTCTTCCTCTATGACTCCTAAACCTCTTAATTTTCAAGTTGAGTTGATTTTCTACTCTTGACTTAAAAATCTAGAACCTTTCAAAAACTTCATCTTTTGATTTCAACAAATAGACATGACAATATCTAGTAAAATTGTCTATGAATGTTATTAAGTACTTCTGACCACCTTTAGTAATATAATTTCTAAAGTCACAAAGGTCAGAATGTATCAGATCAAAAAGTTGTGTGCATTTAGAAACCGACTTAAAAGGTTTTCTAGTGATCTTAGTTTGTGCATATACTTCACATTTGTCAAATCGAATAGAAGAGTATCAAGAGTTTTAGCTAGATGTTGCATTTTCCTGTAGTTCAC